ACCCTCGCCCTTCATTGCTCCCACTCATGTCCAGGCTGTTCATGTAGATCTCATCCATTTCTCCGTGTCTTTCTTGGGGTCCCGTTTTCCAGGTAGCCTCACTGGTGATGTGAGTAGCAGTCCAGTCATCCTTGTTCCACATCTAGCATCCTCTTAGAGACAGGCCCCCAGCTCCCATTCTGCCCCCAACTTCCTGACTTCTGAAGTGAACCTCACTTGTGATCCTCAGATCTCTGCTTGTTCTTGGTGCCCCTTATTGGTACCAGAGGTCTCCATAGAGAGGTTTTGTGCAGGCTCTCACTTGAGTTCCTTTACTGTGCTTCTCACCATAAACAAGGTGGACAATGTTGTTTTCATACATTATTTATCTGTTTTTAAAAAGTTTATTTTTTAATCTTTCTTTTTTTATTTTATATAAGTGATTTTCTAGTCATTTTACATATCAACCATGGATTCCCCTGTCCTCCCTCCTCTTGTCCCCCAGCCTTCTCCCACAACCCAGCCCTCATTTCCACCTCCTCCAAGGCAAGGTCTCCCCTGGGGAATCAGCAGAGCCTGATATATTCAGTTGAGGCAGATCCAATACCCACCTCCCTGCACCAAAGCTGAGCAAAGTGTCTCAGCATAGGACCTAGGTTCCAAAAAAGTCAGCTCATGTACCAAGGACAGGTCCCAGTCTTACTGCCTGGGGACCTCCTAAACAGTTCAAGATAATCAACTGTCTCACTTATCCAGAGGGCCTAGTCCAGTTCCACGGGAGCTCCTCAGCTACTGGTTCACACAGTTCATGTGTTTCTGCTAGTTTGGCTATTTGTCCCTGTGCTTTATTCAATCATGGTCTCAATATCTCTTGCTCATATAATCCCTCCTCTCTCATCGACTGGACTCCTGGAGCTCCACATGGGGCTTGGCCATGGATCTCTGCATCGGCTTCCATCAGTCACTGGATGAGAGTTCTATCATGACAGTTAGGGTGTTCAGCCATCTGATCACCAGAGTAGGTCAGCTCAGGCACTCTCTCCACCATTGCCAGATGTAAAGCAAAAGATAACCAGACTGCAACTCACAATTCCAGGGATGCTACCTTATAAAGAGGACCCTAAGAAAGATATAGGGTTCGCCCAGCAACAGAGAAATGGATAAGATCTACATGAGCAAACTGGGGGTGAGGGGAGTAATGGAGGGCAAGGGTTGGGGGAAAGAGAGCTTAGGGGAATGGGATGTCCTAGCTGGATCAGGAACAGAGTGGGAGAAGAAGGAAAGAGATACCATGATAAATGAAGACCCCATGGGAATAAGAAGAAGCCGAGTGGTAGAGAGGTCCCCAGAAATCCACAAAGATGACTCCACTATAGACTATAAAAGAACTCTTAAATTAGAATACCTCACAGTGGTTGATGAGAAAAAATTAAAGAAGTACTTTATTTTTAATTATGTGTATATTTTTTTTCTGAGTAGTTTAGTGCTCATGGAGAAAAAATGAAGGGCATGAGGTCCTCTATACTTATAGGTGGTTATGAACTACTAATTGCATGTGTCAAGAACTTAACATAAATTCCAAGTTGCTTCCCCAGCACCTGGATGAACAATCATGAAATTTCTTCTCATAGTTACTGCAGATATGTTCACAAGAGTATACATGCTACATCAAGCTAGAAGATTTTGGAGGGCATTTTTGTAAATGACAGCCAGAGACCAAGAGAACAAAAGGACCTCTTATCAAGAGGATGCTAAGAAATGGACCTCAGGGGAAAAATTATGGCAGGATGTCCCTGGTTTGGACAGTGCAAAGTGTGAAGATTAAAGAGATGGGAGAGATTACCACAAATAATGAGTTTTATGGATGTTGACCACAGTTAATAACAACATATCCTATTCTTCACATATGGAGAGAATAGCTTTTATGAGTTATCCCCCAAACAAAAATTGGTCATTCAACATGTAGATGAATTATTGCTTAGGACATTGATGTGAAAGCTAATTTTTATCAAGATACATGTGTGTAAATAAGTATCTGTAAAAAAAGATAATCAACTCTATCCTTTTATGGAATTCTATTGATGTAGAGGATGAAAACCACAGGTATTTCGTTTACCAGGGTGTCTTGGGAAAATGACATTAATTTAGGGAAGCTATGATTTCTCTATCATGTATGCAAAAATAAAGAGAATGAATTGCCGATATTTCAAAATTCTAAGATTACCTATTGAAGTGAACAGTAAATGAATGTCAGAACTATTGACTCTTCTTGAAATATCTGTATATAGAAGGAAACATATAAATATATGTGTGAATATATATATATATATATATATATATATATATATATATATATATATATAATGAAACTATGTGCCGTTATCTAGGACAATAAGAATCAACTGCATAGCTGAGAGGGTCTGTGGAAAAACCATTTGTGGTAGTGTGTGAACACAGAAAGTTGAATAGAATAGGACAGTAGAGGGGCCTCTAGAGGATATCCTTGCCTGGAAGAGGAAACCACAGGTTCTGACATTGAAAGTTATGCTCATGCAGCATAGCCCAGAGCTTCCTATCTTCTGAAGAAACCCCATACTGGTTGTCAGAGATCTTGTTGGTCCTGCACCCCCTGCAGGTCATCAGTATCTCTATAGGGAGGTTTTTGTGCAGGCTCACACTGGAGTTCCCTCACTGTGTTTCTGGCACAGTAATAAGTGGCTGTGTCCTCAGTTTATAGATTGTTCAGTTTTAGGAAAACTTGGCTCTTGGAGGTTTCCCTGCTGATGCTGAGTCTGGATTTGAGAGCTGAACTGTACTCTGTGCCTCCATGATTCCACATTGCTCCCATCCACTGCAGTCCCTTTCCTGGAGGCTGGCAGACCCAGTGTACATGATAGCCAGTTAATGAGAACCCAGAGACAGTGCAGGTGAGGGACAGGGTCTGTGAGGGCTGCACCAGGCCAGGTCCTGACTCCTTCAGCTGCACCTGGGACAGGGCACCTGGGGACAAACAACATCACCATCAGTCATACATCCCATAGATGACATGCCTGGGTCCCTCTCCTGAAACCCTGACCCACTTACAGCTTGGAAAGGTCACCAGGCAGAGGAGCAGCACCAGGACAGCCATGCTCTGCTGGAGGCTCTGGTGAGCAGGAGATGGGGCTTCTCAGCTAGGCCTGGGCTTTCATCCTGAGCCTGAGGGCTGCTTTGCATTGGGGGAGGTTCCTGAGAGGATAAAAGGGAGCACAGGGCAAGGTTTCCACTCTTCCATCAGGTGACTGAGATTTGCCTTGTGCTTCTTAGAGGACCTGGAGATGGAAACTCAAGAATATTTTCCTGGTTTTGTCTGGAATTCAAATCCCTGATAAACAGGGAGTAGTATGAGTCACATTTGCAGGCCTTGGATGCAAAACATAAGTGTGTCCACATTCTTGTTGTGCAAACAGAACAGGTTACTACGTCCTCAATGCACTTGTACATCCCTGTAAATTCCAGCAAGGGCTTGAAATTTAGTCATACTTTGGGCTACTAGTGATGTGAAATCCCGATAAAGGAACTACTAGAAATCTTTTCTCTTAGTGTCTGTTGAGTTACTCTTATTCTTATCACTCATCTAGAAAATCCAACTAATGAGGGAGCAACTCACAGACATTTAGTACATGTGATTTTAATATTTGTCTGTTGGTCTAACTACCTGTCACTATGTTCTTTTTTATTTCTCCCCTTTTCTCTTTACCACATAAAGGACATTACAAAACCAGGTTCCTAAATGTGATTATTGTATTGGTGAGGAAGGGAAGGTCACATGTTCGTAACACTTCATAAAATAAATAGCATGTAACCAGGCTTGAGGGTTAAGTTATCTGAAGTAATAAGGAGACAGAGAATCCTAAGTGATGACAAGAAGTAGAGAGGAGGGCATGCTTCAACAATGGGAACTGTTTGCCCTGTGGTTAGGATCACCATAGAGAACAAGGGATTGTGGGTCTTTTTCCATGCCTTGGTAATGTAAATCACCAGGGAAGGGAAGAAAATAGCTTAAAACAATCTGTTCAGTAAGGACACAGAGAACGTCCTCCATTTATTTCTCAATAGACACCCCATATGTTGTGTCCAGTATTCCTCTGTGCTTACTCTTCCTACTCTGAGTGGCAGTGGTGGAGATGGGTGTTAACATTGGGGAGACAGCCATTCCGTGCAAGCTCTATGGGCACCCAGTGCTATGAGTGCTGTTTTCCCCTTGCTCAAATCGCTGTGAGCATTAAAAGAATGTATTTCAGACAATATGCTCCATGTGTTACATCTTGGGTTTGCCTGATTTTTCATGGTGGTTATAAAATCTTGGGAAAGAATATCACAGGAATAATTGAACCGTTCTTACACCATCTTCGAGAGGTTCTATGAGATCCCTTACTCAACAGTTTTTGGTTTGGGGAACCTCAGGCATAGTTTCTGTCGGCATTTTATGCTCTCATGCTTGTGAGTTTCCCTTCTCCCTGAAACTCTCTAGAAAAAAGTCATAAGAAAAAGTCACTTTCAATGAGAGTGTGTTCAGGATAAAGCTACACATTATTTATTATAATCTTCTATTTGAGAGTTGAATCCTTATACTAAAGGGCTTGCTTAGTCATTTCTTCACTTATGTCTAGTGGACACATGGACACTCAGCTAATGTTCATGTTACATTGACAGTACGAGACTGTATATGTGTAGCAAGTTGCTGCTGCTATGTGTTCATAATTGTAATGGATTTACTGTATCTATAAGACCTCGCCCAAATCTACAACATTTCCACCTGTCTCCTGCTACATTTTTTGGGTTTCAGTAGGTGCATTGTGTGTGTGTGTGTGTGTGTGTGTGTGTGTGTGTGTGTGTGTGTGTGTATTAGAATGAGTATTCAGCAGTCACTTATTCTCAATACTATGGCAGTCATGGATCCCTGCTTTAAATATTATGCATTGCAAAAACAGGCTTCTCTGACCAATGCTGAGAGCAGCACTAATCTTTGGGTACAAAATACCAGTAGTAGATTTCCCCATACGGGTGTCATCTTTTTACTGTAGATTTTTGACCATTTCTGTGCTGTAAATTTAAAAAATCATTGTAAAATGTTTTACTTTTAAAATATACTTTGTACCAATAAAAAGTTTTGAGGACCCTAGGTGGGTAATGTAGGGAAAGGGGGATGGCTAAAGAAACCCACCCTGACCCCGGAGCCCAGAAACAGGGAAGGAAACCCACTCTGGATTTGCGATCTGAGCCAGAGAAAGACACAATTTATCCACAAACCCAGAACCACATAAACATCCTCTGGCTGTTAAACCAGTACCAAAGAAACACACCTTGTCCGTAGAATCAGAGCCAGTGGAAAAAAATATGCATTGGACTTAGAATTAGAGTCAAAAAGCTAAGAAAGGCCAGTGAAAGAAATGGTTTGGTTCTGTAATCAGGGCCACCTTTGCTCCTAACCCACAAAACTAACCAATCCTTGAGCAGAAAAAACTAACCAATCCCTGGATAGAAAGTCTTCTCCCTGGAGAAACTCTACCCTCAAGAGGTCCTATCAAAAGCACCCTGACTATTCAGTTGTTGGCGGTTCTTTCCCACCCTGGTAGAGGCAGCCACTCTCCTGCATGCCTCCTTCCCCAACAAATCACTTCCTCAACAGATTTTGGGGTGTGAAGACCTTCATCTGCTGGCATAGAGAAGAAGAACCCTCCTAAGATGTCCTTTAGTGGACTGAGCAGAAAAAACCTTGCAGAGACCTTCCCATGGGGGTGAGGGGCTGAGCAAGGCAGAACAGAACAGAAGAACCTTGCTGAGATGACCCTTAGGGGACTGAGCAAGACCGAGCTGAAAAGTAACAACTTTTTGCTGGAGCAGGAGGAGATTGCTACATTGCTGCAGGTGTTTCCCCTTTAGCAGAGTGAAGCAAAGAAGCAACATCTTAGGCCACAGAAGAAGAAGAGCTGTGCTAGGAAGCCCCCTTATGTGGAGACTGAGCAAATCTCAGCTGTAGCAGCTCTCCAGGAGAGGAGCAGGATTACTATATTCTGCAGGGAGACCATGCCCCACCACACAAGTTAAACCTGACTTTAGAACAGTCAGGATACCTTTCCCTGCTGAGCTGTCACAGCTAACAGCTCCAGACCTGACTCTCCTGAGCAGTCAGGATATCTCTTCCTCCAGAGCTGAGCTGTTCCATTGCAGCTCCAGCTGTCATAGCTGTCTTAGCAGCTTGAGGTATCTGGGATACCTTCCCCTCCAGTGCTGAGGTTTCCCATTGCAGCTTCAGCTGTGCGAGCTGTCCTAGCAGCTTAAGGTATCCAGGAAACCTTCCCCTCTAGAACTGAGCTGTCCTCGCAGCTCATGGTGTTGCCTGACACTCAGATCAGTCAGAATACCTTTCCCCCAGAGTTGCACCACTCACCTGCTTATAGGTAGGGTATGTGCGAACACTCTCTTCCCCATGCTGGTCCACTTAACTGGCTTAGTTTTGGGCTTGTCTTGTAGAGGGAACTATAGTTATTGTGAGTTCATGAGTGTAATAACCATGTGATGTCCAGAGGCCACCATCACATAGCACCCTCCCCATTCCCCAGTACTTATATTCTTTCAACCAACTCTTCAATAATGATACTTGAGCCTTGTGGGAGGCATATGGAGGGGTAGTGAAGTGGAGGGTGGGGGAGTTTTGATATAGATATTTTATCTGTAGATAAGCACTCACATGGTTGTTTATTCTCAGCTGTGAACAGTCATAGACTCTGTAAATTCAAAGATGCTGGTGGTGGATGGAGAGTCAGTATTTGGGGATGTGATTATTGGTTGATTGTCTGTGTCCATTGGTTGGCTTCATACCCACAGGGATATTGGAAGCTTATTTGAAGTTATTTGGTTTAAAAAGGAAGACATGAATTTGGGAGGAAAATGTGTCAGGAGGACCAGAGCTGAGGAAATTGGGGAGAAGTTGTTGAGTGAGGATATGTCCATGATATGTTGCAAATGCATATGATTAAAAAATGTTGAGCCGGGCAGTGGTGGGGCACGCCTTTAATCCCAGCACTCGGGAGGCAGAGCCAGGTAGATCTCTGTGAGTTCGAGGCCAGCCTGGGCTACCAAGTGAGTTCCAGGAAAGGCGCAAAGCTACACAGAGAAACCCTGTCTCGAAAAACCAAAAAACAATAAGAATGTTGAAGAATAATTTTCAAAATGGTATGGTTTATTAAAGGTCCTTATTTGCATTTCCCTGATGATTAGGGATGTTGAGCAATTCCTTTAATGTCTTTCAGCCATTTGAGTTTCCTCTGTTGAGAATTCTCTGTTTAGTTCTATAGCCCATTTCTTAATTGGACTGTTGGTCATTTTGATGTCTACTTTCTTGAGTTCCTTATATATTCTGGACATCATTCCTCTGTCAGATGTGGGGTTGGTGAGGATTTTTTCCCATTCTGTAGGCTGTTGCTTTGCCTTGTTGACCATATCCTTTGCTCTATAAAAGCTTCTCATTTCAAGAGGTCCCATTGATTGATTGTTTCTCTCAGTGTCTATGATACTGGTGTTATATTTAGGAAGTGATCTCCTATGCCAATGCGTTCAAGACTACTTCCTACTTTTTCTTCTAGCAGGTTCAGAGTAGCTGGATTTATGTTGAGGTCCTTGATCCACTTGGACTTAAGTTTTATGCACGGTGACAGATGTAAATCTATTTGCAGCCTTCTACACATTGATATTCAGTTATGCCAGCACCATTTGTTGAAAATGGTTTCTTTTTTTCCATTGTACACTTTTGGCTTCTTTGTCAAAAATTATATGTTCATAGGTGACAAAGGAGGGTTTATATGAGCAAGAATTGTTGAAACCAAGGTTGGATAAAGCACAGGGACAAATAGCCAAATGAATGGAAACACATGGACTATGAACCAAAGGCTGAGGGGCTCCCAACTGAATCAGGCCCTCTGAATAGGTGAGACAGTTGATTGGCTTGATCTTGAAAGACCCCCAGGGAGAGATCTTCCTCCGGGAGAGACCCCAAACCCAAGGAACACACCGAAACCACAGATCAGATGCAAACAGCAAGAGGGTTTATTAGATGCACAGGTACCCGGGGCCAAGTCTCTCAGAGGACTTGCGCGCCTACC